AGAGAAACTGATTTTATATTTAATGTTTTCAGGTTGAGCCATGACGTTCACTCCCAAAGAGAATCTGCACACAGTCACCCAAGAAGCAACATTTGGAAAAACTTCACCAACTGGCAAACAAACTTTAGACTTGGCACCAAAAATTTAAAGAGGAGGGCTGATTATGTGGGGGATAAAGGATCAATATCATCATTGAGCTAGACTTTATAGTTTTCAAGATAATTACTTTTAAAATTATGTAAATTTTTTGGGACACTGTATATCGTCAAAATATCAAATTTGGATATAGTTACATCCTAGTAGTGAGTCATGGAAGTTATTAATTCAACTTTTTATTGCTTAAATCTTATCATATTGCCAAAAAATAACAAAAAAATCTCCCACAAGTGCAAGTAAAATGTACACATGATAAAAATTTAGCCCAAAAGTATTGTCTCAGCTTTCATATATTGAAGGAGAAGTGGATATAGTAATTATCATGACGGGTCTAGTGAGCTTGATTTCCACATCAGTCCTTGTTGAGTCTTTGCTGCCGGAGAATCGCTGACTTGGCTCGTTTCAGACAGTGGGCTTAGTCATAAAGACGCTGCTGTCTGTACGAAATTAGCAACACACTAACGAGCACATAATAAACACGTCTTAAAACTAATGTTTAAAGTCAAAGAATCAGTGTCGGTATTGAGTATTATCTGTTACAGAAGGGTGAGTCGTTGTACAGTAGTAGGGAGTATTATCTGTTACAAAACAGGGAGTTGTGCAGTTGTAGGGAGTATTATCTGTTACATATGGTTGTAGGGAGTATTCTGCTACATAAGGGCGAGTTGTTGTACAGTTGTAGGGAATATTATCTGTTACATAAGATTGAGTGTTTGTGCAGTTGTAGGGAGTATTATCTTTTGCATAACAGGGAGTTGTGCAGTGGTAGGGAGTATTATCTGTTACATACGGTTGTAGGGAGTATTCTATTACATAAGGGTGAGTTGTTGTACAGTTGTAGGGAGTATTATCTGTTACATCAGGGTGAGGAGTTGTCCAGTTGTAGGGAGTATTATCTGTTACATAAGTGCAAGTTGTTGTACAGTTGTAGGGAGTATTATCTGTTACATAAGGGTGGGTTGTTACACAGTTGTAGGGAGTATTATATATTACATAAGATTGAGTGTTTGTTCACTTGTAGGGAGTATTATCTGTTACATAAGGGCAAGTTGTACAGTTGTAGGGAATATTATGCGTTACATCAGGGTGAGTTGTTGTACAGTTGTAGGGAGCATTATCTCTTACATAAGGGTGAGTTGTACAGTTGTAGGGAGTATATCTGTTACATAAGGGTTAGTTGTACAGTTGTAGGGAGTATAATCTGTTACATAAGGGTTAGTTGTTGTACAGTTTTTCCACGGCCGATCACATGACCAACTTTACGGGTCATTGAACGATACTGGAAGATAAATGTTGTAGTAATTACCGTCTCAGGCCTAGTGAGCTTGATTTCCACATCAGTCCTTGTTGAGTCTTTGCTGCTGGAGAATCGCTGACTCGGGCTTAGTCATGGAGATGCACTTCCCAAATGAGACCTGACAATTGCTTACAAACTGCAGTCGATAGTTAAGAGACTAGTGGTGGTTGTTCCTGTTTTTCTTGCACCACTTTGAAAAGAAGTGATGTGTCTTTCCAAGTGCCGCCCACATTTGAAAACAAACAAACTAAAGCTAAAATAGGGTAAATCAGGTCTGAACAATGGTAGACTAGTTTACTGGTTTCCAAATTGTGCTGCTTCCTCAAGTGACTCAGTTTCCTCTGCTGTGCTAGTATATTATTTGTTGAATCCACATTTTTGTCTTCTTTTGGGTTACTCCTTGTTTAAAGGTTCTGTACTTAGTAAGTTAGGCTACGTTCAGACTACAGGGCTTAACACTCAATTTGGATTTTTTTTGTGAAATCCGATGTTTTTGCGAGGTCGTTCACAATTCCAATTAAATGCGACTTGTATGTGACTCCAGTGTGAACATTAAACATCCCAAAAGTGTCCCACATGTGACACTGGAGACACGACGACGTCAACCGCAGCGAGCGTCTCTGTGTTTACGGAAGTTGTCCAAACATGGACGCGAGCATTGAGCACCTGGAGATTTTAAAGTTCCTCTCGTACCGGAGCCAGAACATGAACAACTTACTTGTTTTAAGGAGGAGATTGAGAAGGAGAAGGACGAGGTTTTTGGCCGTGGTGTTTTGTGGAGCAGTCCATTGAAAGGAACATGTGGATGTGGAGACAGATCCAAGAGTGGTGAGTGGCAATGTGCTTCACTTTAGTGACATGGAGTTCATTAACAATTTTCGTATGATGAGTAGAACATTTGTGTATGTTTGTGGCTTGTTGATAATGTGTAGGTCGGGTGAATGCGCCTTGGCCTTTCAGACTGAAGTCGCATGTCAAAAGATTGAATATGTATTGGTTTTAGGACCACATATTAGGGCTGGGCGATATGGATCAAAAAATATATCTCGATATATTTTGCTATATCTCGATATACGATATATATCTCGATATATGTTCAAGAAAAAATAACCCCCTAAAACTGAAAACTGAAAAAACAAATCTGCCAAATTCCACAAGGTCATTTTTTTTTAATTGAAGTGTAAGAGGTCGGCAGTTCATAAAACCCTAATTACATAAATGATAATTTAACTGTAAAATAAAAGAAATAAAACATATTTCCTTCTTTTCATTCATAAATAAAACAACACAAGCTCATCTTTGCATTAACTCTGTTATCAGAACCAGAACCATGAGCTCATTTAGCAGAAGAAGCTCAGGTTGTTCCTTATTTCAATAGATCCATGTTATTATCCAGCAGTAAGGAGCTCTGAGGTTTAATCCCACAATCCACTGCAGATCAAACCCAACGTTTCCAAACACTATTGTACAAGTGACACTGCAGCAGATTATTAATTAAAATCTTCTGCATAAATAAACTTTACATTGCTAAACTTTACAATATATAAAGCATAACGACTCTAGAGCCACATCAGCCCGTTTGAGATAATAATGTGTTTAATGCAGTTTTGCGCACGTGTGTTTACATTTTACAGAAACGAAACTTAAGCGCATGGCTCATTTGCATAAACAGCGATCTTCTCATGCAGTTCAGCTCGTTTAGCTTCTTTCGGGCTAAAGGACGCGACTCGGTGGAACATGAGGATGTGCTGCTGATGGTTTTGTCTGTAAATGGTGAAAAAGGTTTGTGGTGCTTGAAGCTTTTCACTGGCACCAACTTTCGGCGTTCACGGCGACAGTGACGAGTGAAGGAGACACGAGCGAACAAAATCAGGGAGGCGGAGGCGACGAGAGAGAAGGTAAACAAGCGAAGCGGCGAAATCAAAATTGAATATAAGCATTATATCGATATATACGATATGTCAGAATTCATATCGAGTTTAAAAACTATCTCGATATATTTAAAATATCGAAATATCGCCCACCCCTACCACATATCCAAGTGTCCTGGGTCGCATTTGAAAAAATCGGATCTGTGTCGTTCAGACTGTCATTAAAAGATCAGATGCAGGTCACATAGGGGCGAAAAAATCGGATTTGGGTCACTTCAGGCTGCAGTCTGATCGTAGCCAAGTGTTTATTTATATAGCGCTTTTCACAGACATATGTCACAAAGGTGCTTTACAGAACATTATTCATTCACTCCACACCCAGTGATGGTAAACTATGACTGGGGCCAACCATCACACACACACACCACTTTCATACTAGACAGTGTGGGTGAAGTGTCATGCCTAAGGACACAATGACTGATTTTCCCAGTTGTCTGCCATCCAAGTACTAACCAAGCCCAGCCCTGCTTAGCTTCTGAGATCTGATGGAATCAAACTTTGACAAGCTGGTATGGCCACAACTATATTACCAGGGCAGCCGCGAGGTCTTAAAACTCTACAAAAAGGTCTTAAATATCAAGTTCCTAAATTAAGGCCTTTAAAAGTTTAAAATTATGTTGCCCAAGTCTTAAATTTAGCCTATTTTTTGTAAACTCAACCGGGTTACAGTGCAATATTAAATGGAGGGAGAGAAAAAAAAAAACAACATGAAATAATGTAATGTGAATGAAGGTAATTTGGAGTACGTGCAAACAATACTTTGTTTTGGCCGCCAGCGGCCAATGAGTGAACAATCAGTTCTGTCTGCACTGCCCAAGACGCAAAACTCTGGTCAGATCTGCTCACGTCGCATACGCGTTTACGTCACATACATCACCACCTAGTCGCCTGGTATGCATACACAATCAAATTCCACACACTTTGGCGTCACCGTATGCACGCAGATTTCCTCCCGAAAACGCTCGTCTAAACGCAGAATAAAAAGTGAAGACGCTGCACCACTTTTGTGTCTTCTGTTCAGACCGTCGTCATATAAACGTAGCCTTAGATTCTAGATATAGTACCGGTAGTTGGTTGGTCATTATTAGAATTAGACCTGGTGTTTTCGCCTGCATAATGGGTGGGACGCTGGTCTTAATTTTCATTTAAGTGGTCTTAAAAAGGTCTTAAAAACATCTTAAATTTGGGGTAGTCAAACCCGGGGATACCCTGATTATACAAAATTGCCTCTCGTGAGCTTTAAGCTTTAAGTTATAATGTTGTTCCCTCCTCAAAAACAGACCTGGAGTTGCGTTTTGTTTCATTCACACATTTTTGAGTAATCCTTTATTTTTAGTCTGTCTACACCTCCAAAGCTCAGGCAGGTTCCATAGTAGTCCGTGGGAGTATACTAGTCTATGTGCTCTTAGACTTGTTCTGATACAGCTCAAGATCATTCTAAAACTATTCAAGAAAGGTTAATTTCTGTCCGTGTTAATGTGACTTTTTTAGTATCAATACTTGCTGTAGTTTCGATTCTAGTTTTAGTATCGAATAACCTCTGATTTTTGATCCTTTTGACAATCCTACATGCTTGTCTTAACCCACGTATCTGTTTTTTTTTTTGTTGTTTTCAGAATGATGTCCAAAGGATAACATCAAGACCTCCGCCTTCCCTTTACCCAACACCTCCTTCCATTTTGTTTTGGCTCTAGTCTTGACCCCTTCCGCCACTTCTCAATGGGAGCCCGGGCAGCACCGCACAGCCGACGCGATTTGTGCTCAAAAGACAAGACGGCAATGATATTCTAGATGTTTTTCTATTAATAGCTACGTCATTGGATCCTCTGCCCATGCGAGACCGTGCTCACTCCCATTCTACTTCCACCGCTGTCCCCCCTCTCCGAACTCCGATGCTCTTCCCCCAGTTTTAAAGGGCCATGGTTCGGAAGAAAGGCTCCTTTATACTATGCGGTGCTTTCTTGTTTGTTGCCTGGAATGCCTTGCTCCTCCTCTACCTGTGGGGGCGCCCTCCCGTCGGCCGGGTGGGCGAGGGGGGCGGGGCCGAGCCGGTGGGCAAGGAGGAGTGGGGGGCGGGGCAAGGTAAGGCTGCCGTTGGTGGAGGCGGCGGCGGCGGTAACCTGGCCGGCGAGGTGATGCGATTGGCCGAAGAGGTGGAGGTGCAGCTGGAGAAGCAGAAGGAGCTACTGAGGCAGATCGAAAACAACAGAGCGCAGTGGGCACGACAGAAGGAACTGGGGAAGAGGGAGACGGAGAATCCCAAAACGCCGATGGAAGTAGTCGTTGAAAGAACGTTGGCGATAGAACGGACTAAACCGCAAAACAAGGAGGAGAAACCGACGCAAAAGTTAGTCACCACAACCACTCCGGAAGTCAAATTGAAGCCAACGAAACCAGCGGAAAGCAAACCCGAGGAGAACACGCCAGCAGCGACCACGGCGAGCCCAGAAGTGGTCATCCCGATTCTAGTCATCGCTTGCGATAGGGTCACGGTGAAACGCAGCCTGGACAGACTCATCCAGTACAGGCCGTCGGCGCGTCTGCACCCCATCGTCGTGAGCCAGGACTGCGGGCACGCCGACACCGCCAGGGTCATCGGCTCCTACGGCGACCAGCTCACCCACATCACGCAGCCCGACCTGGCGGACATCAGGGTGAGGCCAGAGCACAGGAAGTTCCAGGGCTACTACAAGATCGCCAGGCACTACCGCTGGGCCCTCAACCAGATCTTCAACAGCTTTGGCTACTCCAGTGTGGTGATCGTGGAGGACGACCTGGAGGTAAGAGCGCAGTTATTTACAAACGCAATGTACAATTTATTAGGGATGTAACAATAACCGAAATATCATGGTATCGTATCGTCAAAAGTCTCACAATATATCAAATTACATGTTCCTTTGCTTAAATGCATGGTTTTATAGTAGCAACAGCTTATAAACATAGCGAACTACATATCCCATGATTCATTTCAGCGCAGACAACATGAAATTAGATGTTTTTTAATTGAATTCTTGGGATTATGACAGTAATAATTCACAACAAGTTCTTGTCAGGGCATTTTAAAAGCAAAAAGTTTCCTATCTACATTTATATCAGCCTCTTCAAAATATCGCAATAAATATCGTACCGTGAGATGGATATCGTAATAATATCGTACAGAGAGTTTTTGATATCGTTACATCCCTACAGTTTATACTTTGTAGCTATCGTACAAATTCTCTGGAAGTGGGAAGCGACCTGAAAGCACTGCTCTGTCTGAAGCTCTGTTACTCAAGTTAGACTTTAATCTGAGTTTTATTTGAACACAGTCTGACCAGAAAGAGCTGAGTTGGAACTACAACAGGCGAGATGATTTGTGTGCTTAAAGAAGTCTCTCTTACATAAACTATAAAGAAGTGGACTAAGTGAGTGTGACGTCACCCACGGCGTCTGGCTCCGCTCAAATGAAGCTCACAGTGCTCATGGTTACAGGAGCAAATTTGTAGCCAGGCTGTATATTATGAAAAGGATTTTTTGGCGGACAAAATGACGGGCAAAACAGGATCATATATTAATGCATTTTAAGACCAAAATGACAAGGCTCACAGAAGCAGTTACAGAGAGACCGTCCGCAATATTACAATGTAAGTCAACGGAAGCCAGAGTCAGAAGGAGCCGGAAGAGACGCTGCGAACTTCCTATTTGGAACGTGGCTGCTAGTGCCTTGGCTACATCCACTTATATATACAGTCTATAGCCCTGTTCATATGGTATAAATCCAACCTGGGAACATATAGTAATTTGCAAATTACCTCCCACCTCTGTGTTACTTGCAGCGCATTCTCATGAGACAAGCGAAGTCTGTAAATTTGTCTATTTTACTGACATTGACACAGAGATTGAAAGGGAAAAGAATGCAGAAAGAAAAGAAAGAGACAGAAAAGGCGCAATGACAACAACTAGGGATGGGCATTCGATGAAATTTTCTTAATCGATCGTCGGAAGAATTAACGATTGATTATCGATCATAATCATTAACGTGTTTATATTAAAATGATCATCATTATTATTACTATCTGCACTACTAACCTGCATACATAAATTCAACTTACGACATATAAACCGTAACGACTCTAGAGCCACATCAGCCCGTTTGAGATTATAATGTGTTTAACGCAGTTTTGCGCAACTTAAAACCGCATCACTAATTTGCATAAACTCAGCGAAGATAAAACTACAGCTCTTGTGCGCTGATGCGGTCAACTTCTGTTGGATTAAAAGACATGACTCAGTGGAATACAGGTTAGTGTGACCATATTTGCGTTTGTCAAAACCAGGACACCGTACGGGAGGTGGGAGATGGGACATTGCTCGACTCTCACCTGGCAAAACTTTTTCCCACTGGACACCGAAACATATGTTCCTGCTTTATACACTGTGCACATGGACTCACACTTGTCCCGAACGCAACGGAAAGCGTGGAATTTCTTGTACAAATCATCGTTTATACGCATTTGCGCTGCAGACTGACCCACTGTTTGTGTTTGCTCGCTCCTTCTGAGTGCAAAGAGCTACATGTACGGACCCCTGTTTGGTCACGCTACGCACAGCAACCTACATTCGGTTTGTCGCTTAAAATGAACATAATCGATGAAATTCTTAATGATCGATTAATCGATTAATCATGCCCATCCCTAACAACAACAAACATTGAGATGAAGAGTCACACGGGACTAGGATTATCACCAGACGTCTGTGTTTGGCAAAATATAGTATAGTAATATGCTGTGTAATTTTTCTTCACAAATTACAGACATGGCACATTCTTACAGGATTATTACAAATTACCAAAGGTTCACAGGTAAATCTAATCTCGTGCAAATAGGGCTTTAGTCACTGTAACTTTTTGGTTGAAAATCAAACTCCTTCATGGGACCTCGCGTTGATCACAGGCGCCTGAAAATTTGTTGTTTAAATCCATTTTGTGTTTTCAGACTACCGTGTGTCACCATGGGAACTGCTGAACATTCCTCCTGTAGAGATTTATGTAGAACACCCCCAGCATGTCGTCACTACAAAGCATCAGTAGACCCTTCCAGTGATTTGTAAACGGAACGACTGCGTTCTAAAACCTGGTGCTGTTTTGCGCATTACAGCTCCAATGTATTTTCAATGGGAGAGTTTGTTTCCAAATTAGCCTCCAAACACCACAAATTATGATAAATTACACCTTGTTAGTGGTATGGAAACTGAAAAAGCTCGATCGGTGCAGCCTTAGCAACATTTACACGCAACTACAAGGGACGATATTGAAGAAGTCTGAAGAAGTCAAAAGAATTCCTCTGTAGTAAAGCCATTTTACTAGTACATGTCAAAAATAGAATGAAAAAGTGTCATAAGACTATATAATATTAAGATAAGATTTTTTGCAAGTGTATTATCAAACAGTACAGTTCCTGTTTGGGCCGCGTCTCATTTCTCTTTCCTCGCTTCCTTCTCCTTGATTCCTCTCCTCAATTCTGCAGGAAATGGTTGAGGAAGTCCCGCCCACAGAGGAGACAAAGCAAGGAGAGAGGATCTAAACTCCTCACTGAGACCAATAAAGTTTGATTATTTTATCTGACGTCTGCTCCTGAAGACTCCCTCGGGTTTACTCCTTCATTTTGTGGTTTTCTTTGGGACACCACATTTGATTGACAGCTGAAAAATGGAGAATCGAAGAGAGAAATCGAAGGAAGCGAGGAAAGAGAAATGAGATGCAACCTTTGTCTGAGTTTGAAAAATAGTTTAAATTTGACTTAAAGCCCTTCAAAAGCTTGTTGTGAGTACACAGCTTCCCCCTGTGCAGTAAAACTAAAGCTGATCTATTATTACTCTGGCTGACAGGGAATCAAAACAGCATCGCAGCTGATACTGAGAGCTTATAATTAATCATAACAAGTGTTCATTCATCCAGTGTGAGTGGGACTTGATGAGACAGTTTAAATGACGGAGAGCAGGAGTGGGCCGGGATCTGCTTAAATTATTCTCGGCTCTGGTTCACTGTGGGCTAATTCACTGTATTATTCTATAGACGCTGACAGGTTCACTCCCACATTTAATACCTATGGGGCATTTGAAATTATGTCGGTAATGGATGATGAGAGACTCTAGAGTTCACAAAAGTGCAGAATTACATTATAGACAAGTTTTCAGAGTGAAATAAAGGCGTTTATTCATGTGTGGTTTTATTGACAAGTTCATAAACTGATATAGGTGTAAATTAGTGACGTTTGTGACCTTAATTAGGGTTGTTCTGATACCAATACCGGAAAAATTAGGTATCAGAGCTTTTGCCGATACTGCATATTTTTCCTGTATCTGTGTTGGGGAGTACTCAGAGCAAATTACAGATCCGATACAACTCTAAAAGACATTTGTGTTACCTCTTTGATAGCTTCATTTAGCATTTAGTGTGGATGCTGAACTTAGTAAAATAACTGCACTACTGCAGTGCAGCCTGACAACAGCGACAACTGGTAAAAATACTTAAATCAGCATTACTATACATTTACCAAATACTTTAGTCCTCAGAAACACATTTATTCTTGCAGTTTTTCTTTAGAAATAGTCTTTTAGACTAATTTTTTTAAACAAAATTTCCCACTTTGCAGTATCAGACTGGTGTCTGTATCAGCGAATACATCAAGGCCAAGTATCATATTGGATCAGATCCCCAGAAAATGGTATCGGAACAACACTAGTCTTAATATAAATATATTGTTGCTCACTCCTAATATTATTATTTTTTGCATAAATACCATAAATTCCAAACTATAAGCCGCTACTTGCGGCAATGCGGCTAATATATGGACGGATTCTTTGTTTGGCACATTGTCCTTTCATATTTACGGTTTATGGTTTGGCAGCACAGCGGATACTCGCAGCCTGAGTGCAGAAAACGCCGCTGTCTGTGTTACACAAGCTAGTGATATTGTCAGTGCACTCAAATAGTTTATCACCGTGTGATAAAATAAGTTATGATCCTAAATGAACATTAGTGAGGGGGAAATGTCTTACCCGTATGCGTAAATAACGAGAAGAAATGTCTCAAACTTCAGTAGTTGGACATCCACTCATACCTGACTGACAGAACTATCCCCGCCCTCGAGAGAGTCTGAAATCTGCTGAAATTCTGCAAGACACTGACATGATACAGACAGAATAGAGACTCTTTCTGCAGGAGACATGTGCAGTAGAGCGCGGGGAGAGACGGTCCGAGGAAGATGTTATTTGATTTTGCTTCATACACACACCCTCCTCATGGAAAACACATGAAGAATTGCAGACGATGCAGATTTTAAGTTAAAGGTGATTAATGTGTCTGTGGAAGAAGGAAACAGAGCTGCTGCACATGAGCTCGACATCAGTGAGTCGATGAGATTTTGGCGACGGCAGCGTGACGAACTGACTCAATCCAAAAAGACGACAAAAGCAGATGGCCCTTGATAACGTTCTTGAAGACGTGGACACCTGAGGCTTGTATTCAGATGCAGCCTACATATGCTCAATTTTAAAATTTTGTTAAAATTTCGTTGATGCGGTGAATATTCAGGTGCACTCAATAGTCCGGAAAATACTGTAGTAGTTTTTGCATGAGCTCCCTTGTAGGTGTCGTCCTATGTAGTTTGGTTAAGATACATAGAAATAAGTAATGCTTTTCATAGCTTTTGCCACATCGCCTTTTGAGTCGACTACAGCTCTAGTCTAAACGACAGGGTTAGTGGGTTTTTACAAAGTGTGACCTGTTGAATTTCATTGT